TCTGCAATAGTTCCAGTAGGTGATTTTTATTAGGCGATCAAAATGGTTTTCAATTTAATCCTCCCCAGATGCATTTTGTCTTTTAACTTACAGCAGGATTGAACGGTAATATACTATATTATTTTCAAATTAATTATACAATCACTGCATAGGTTACTAATTTTATTTTATCTCTTCTTCTCGTTTGTTTGTAGAAATTCATTTCCATCAAACATCGTTGCAGCATGTTTCAGAACGGTAAGTATATGTTACATATTAGATGGGGGAGTGGGGTGTAGCTAATGTGTGGCTAATTTGCAATAAACGTACCAAACGTCGACTTATGTTTCAAACCATCTGGAAACCTTTAATTCCAGTAAAACGACCTCCAAGGCGATTGTTGTTAATTGCTTTCGACCAAAACAGTGTACAAGAACAATATATATTTACCACTATAAGTGTAATGTATATTTTCGCATAGAATGTTATGTTATAAACAACTTTCTGATTTGTAATAGTTTGTTCGTCAGTTATGTGTCCCAGTATCGATGTACAGGATGGTTCGTAACCATCATCAAACAGAGAGCATGCATGACTCTAATCATGTCAACACAAACTGATTCTTGTAAACAAATCTCAACACCGAGTGTGTTGTATTCGATTACAATCACCCCAGTCTATGTGCTAGGAACATAAACTCTTTACAATCCTGTTATTACATATGTTATGAAAACAATCGGGTTTTAGACTACGCCACCAGTTGTTACTAAACGGAGAAAGAGTACAATTCTTGTTTCGCAGTTGTCAGTAATATAACCCATAAACAATCAACGTGACCGGTGTGTTGAAACATATCTGAACCGATAACCTTGAATAAATCGAATGGAAATTTGAAGGCCATCAAAACGTTAATGTGTCGACTTATAATAGCTTAGGATTATTATGACATTATAAATATAATTATCCTGACGATTCCATCTAAAGTACAGAGTTAACGGGTATTCACATCATAAAGATTAAAGGGTGATGGTCGTCGCGCCGCGCAGGTGCGATATTATTGTTGATTAATATTGATTTTCCCATAATCAAATGCGCTTTTCCAATGAAATTACGAGTACGAGTTTTGATCCGGGCGTCACTTGCACTAAGTTCCGCCCGTGACTCCTTCCAATCACTAAAGAAATAACCTTGGTAACCTCTCAGTTTGTACAACAGTCTGTTTAAATGAGACCATATCTCGCACATGCGTGGCGCGACGACCACCGCCGTTTAAGAGGATGTTCACTTAAAAAATACAGATTTATTTGTAGTGTTCATAATACCACTGCTCGCGTAGCAATGTCACTTTGTCTAGATTCACTTAGCTAATACGCATTGGTCCGCGCAATGTGGTAATATTTGTATACACAATTTGAAATTGTGAAATGAACCCACCCAAATCAACGATTACGACTTGAACAACACTTTTTTGTTGAAATGCTTATAATCATTTATGCTGAAATTGTAGTCCCCATATTCAGGTAAAAGATAACCCAATACCAGACAGTTTAGAATTCATTCTGGTGTTCAATAGGTATACAGCTCTACAATCGAATTACTCCCTCAAAAGAGAAAGTTGCTATATTTTCCGCAACAGCAAATTACATAGTTACAAATGAAGTTTATGTTTCTTGGGAAATCTGTAAACTGTGGGATCGGTGGTTTGAGAAATTAAGTAGTTACAATGCAAACAAAGCTGAGAGTTGTGCAGATGTGCAAAGATTTGAAATTATTAGAAAACTAGTTCGGCTTTTCCACGATCTCCACGCTAAATCGTCCCCTTGTGCGGGGTGGTATGTCGTCACTCTGATGATAGAATCGCCTGTTGTGTGTTACATCAATGAAAATAAGAGTTGTGTCAAGAAAACATAATGTCATCATAATTTGGTGGATTTCAGTATGCCACAGATATGAGAGACGTCGAGATAGAAGAGGCCACAAATATCACTAATGCTACCATGGGGGTCGAGTATTATGGCACGTGGAATGATAGTATGAACATACTCGGGCTTGTAGTGTTCTCTATAGCGTTGGGTATTGTTATTGGAACTATGGGAGAAGATGGTAAACCTGTCGGCAATTTCTTCATTGCTTTGAACGAGGCTGTTATGAAACTAGTCATGATCATTATGTGGTAAGTCATTTGCCATTTTTATTTTGACGTCATCAGTTGTCGCGCATCTACTGTATCCACGGTATTGCGCATATTACGATGACGTCGCAAATAATTACATTGGCGGTAAATGTGTTCTGATATAGAAAAAAATCGTGGTTCTATGAAAATGGCGAAACAGAATTCAATATATTCAAAACACTTTCTGTTTTCTCTGTGATTATGTGGCTACATAAACATTGTGATATGTTTTGATGTAGCAAGTGCTAAATTAATGGAAAATCAAAAACACAGGACCACAATAAAATATTGTGGGAAAAGGCATTTTTGCTGTTCACACATTATTAAAAAAAATAGACCAGTTTTTGTTTCTGCGTCGCAATGTTGTGACCCATTTGCTACATGACTTGATACAATTATGTATTTTCAAGCACGCCCAGCGAAGTGAGTTATGTCTATTTAAATTCACCAACAATGTCATCGAACAGTACTATCACATTCCGTTGACATAGTGGGTGTACCATGATTATTTGGCACATATGGCTATAGGTAGGGTTGGTAACAGTAAGTAATCGATATGACTGTAAACTCGGAAGTAGAACAATGAAATGCGTTTTATGAGGGTATACCTGCTTTTACTGTCGGCATAGCGTTAAATGTGTTGTTATACACACGCATCTAGCATACTTTGCATTTATACGACACTCAGTCACGTCTTGTCGCCTGAGCTTTATTTATTATAGGACAGATAACATTGTCACAATGATATACTAATGTGTTGGACGGTTGGACGTGGCATACATTAGGATCAAATTAAAGAGCGTGGTCGTCGCGATCGCGTGCGTTCGCATTTTTGTGTAAATAAACAATGTATTTAACTCACGTGCCTATATCGAACGCACGTGGTCGCAACGACCACCGACTTTTACTGTAAGCGAAAAAGCCACCCATTCGGCAGTTTTGCAATATAGCTTACTGTTTTGCTAACAAAGTAGCAATGTTTATAGTTCGGATGTGACTGTTTGTAATTGTAAGCTGAGATCAATATTGCTACTTTGTTAGCAAAACAGTGAGCTATATTGCAATACTGCTGGTTGAGTTGCTTTTTGGCTCACAGTAATATTTGAACACTACGTTTCACAAAATAAAGCCGCATAATTATTTCTATACTATATTAAACAATCAATTAAGACCTATGTAAAATGGTAATTCAATAAGTAACTACATGAAAGTGTGTAAAATGTCGTACCAAGATTTTGGTGGGGGAAATATGGCGTCCAGATGTTTAAGGTGAAGTGACCTCGCATTTCCCATGAAAGTTGCGTTGGTCGTCATTCGCTGCTGGTGTCCTGGAGTCGTAATGTTTATCCCGGCCCGTAATAATCAGCTTACGTTAAAATCTTGTTGCCGGAAATGTTACTAAGGTATGCGTATCAAAACGAACCTTCGGCAAATATATTTACCTCTACTGCAGGTCTCACAGCATCAAATACCCTTGTGTATGTTCGACCTAAATATTTAGGTTACCAAACAAGACATTTTATTGTTTATAATAAAAACGTCAACATGAATAACGACATTTGATTTCTTCGATGCGACATGATAATAATTGGTCAGGTATCAGGGACTCGGAAACACTGTGGCTACTTTACTATGTTATACAATTATCAGTTTTACCAAATGAATATTCATGAGATCATTATAATTCGTCATGATGTTGGAGTTAAATGTTACACAAGAATGTGAAATTTGGTAATCTTTCTGTTCAACGTCTCTGATGACCGAGTGGCGTTTACTTAATTAAGTTCCTTGTGTTTTATCGCCAGTCATTATAGCATGCGAGTATACCATGTTTTTGTACTTCTGATTCTGATTTGGTCAGTTGCGCTGTAATGCGCGCATCTCTACACAGTTATATGCAAATTAACTGCTTCATTTGCATATACTACTCATTTGTATATACATGTACGTAGACAACATTTATTACATCTCACCGTTGTTACGCATGCTGTGACTAGTTGATACCCAGTCACATGACGTTGGATAAAAATGAATATAAGTCTTCGGCTTTGGCATCATCAATATTGAGTAGGCCACAAATCGTGATATTGCCCTCAAAACATTATTTAAATATATATCGTATCATGCTAATGTTGTTAATTCGTTAGTCCAAACTGTATATACATTATATTACTATCATAGTTTGCTAACAGGCTTAATAGTCCCATTCCATACACCATGACATAAAACACAGTCGTCTATTCTCAGAACTTTTTATATATACTCCAGGTACGGACCAATTGGTATATTTTTCCTCATACTGGGAGTATGTTTCAGCGTGGCCGATGAGTGGGAGCAAGTGATGGCGCAGATAGGCATGTATTTCGCCACAGTCTGTGCCGGCTTAGCGGTGCATGGTTTAGTCGTGTTGCCCGCGCTCTACTTTATAATAGTGCGTAAGAACCCGTATGCTTATCTAAAAGGCGTGATCGAAGCCTTACTTACAGCCCTGGGTACAGCGTCCAGGTGAGTTACATTTAAAAAAAACACATCCACCTCTCAATTTGTAGGGGATTTACCAGATTTTACAATACCAGTTAGATCCGGATCCTGGATTTTGTAATCCCGGTGATTTACTGTAATAACAACAATGCAACGTATTATAGCAAGATTTGAACTTTAACCTCAGTGTATATGGCATGCCAAAAATGTTGCTATTCGTTAAAATCGGGTTTCTAATATTTATGACACGTATTCATCTTATTTGGTGTTACAGTGTTTGGTTGCGAAGTGCAATTTGCATAAAGAATGTGACATGAAATCTTACTAGTTAGCATATTACGATCTTTATATATTCTTTTATTTTTAGCTCTGCAACACTTCCTTTGACTACGAAAAACCTGGAGGAAAACAACAACATTGACAAGAGAGTAACCAGATTTGTTTTACCCATTGGGGCAACTATCAACATGGACGGCACAGCTTTGTACGAAGCTGTGGCGGCCATATTTGTTGCTCAGTATAACGACATTTCTTTGGACGCCGGCCAAGTCATCACAATCAGGTGAGAAAGATTTATTCTGTCGGTGTATTTATTGCGGGCATTATTAAAAGCAGTGGACCGAAAATAAAAGATAATTATCACCAAATGTCAGCTCCCCAATTGAATTTGTACTTATTAAATCCATATAAGTGAGATTTTAATAGTTGCGTCACGGCATATGTCACTGACCAATATTTATGCTGCGCGACCTTTACTGCGCACGGCGCCGCGCATACAAGCGCGAGTATTGGCCCAAATGTTAATGGAATAGAACGTCGTTGTTCTGCACATGGAGGTTTATATCTTCATGTTTTGCCCAATACAACGTCCGCTAACTATTATAGTATAACACATCGTGTATATAAACATTATATTAACACGTGTGTGAGTACGAATGATGTAACCAAAATATTAACATACTCGGGGTTTGCCAATCCTGGTGTCTCGATAATACAGAAATGGTGTTCTTCAAGTTGAAGATACAACTCCCCACATGTGATCTACGACATTGATGAATACAGGGGCGCTGTAATGATTTTATTATATAACCGCTCCAATGCAATCACTACTGATCTCACTTTTCATTAATCCGTGCCGATCCAACTGCGAACATGTCCCATCCAGCCTTTGTATGTTTGGGTAGCAGCTGAGTTCGTGACGTCATCCGCCAGATAATGACCCCTGAAGCCAGGCTCGTTCCAGCCAAAGAAGTTTCTATAAATATACATCTAGACAAAACACGTCTAAAAATAACAGCGTGTTGCGTGTTGTTGCAAAAACATTCAAATCATACGCCAATTATTGTGACGGTTTATATGACATAAATCATGTTTTCAATCGTAGTGAGATAGTTTGCTTGACCTTTGATCGATTCCATTCTGGATACTCCGAGGGAGATTCGATATTTAAGATCACTGCTGTCCAAGGGTGAACACACTTTTGCTTTTGATGACGTATCCAAAGAGGCAGAAAGATGACACAGTAGTGTTCCCCTGGGCTTTGCGCTGCATGTTATTGCTTTCTTATCTGATATGTCTTGCGTTGCGTTATGATGTGTTCCATTCAAAGTAGATTCCTACTCTAAAATTAAAATACCCAACATGCATCAGCAGTTAAATATGACATTCCAAGAAATATATAGCCATAATAATATGTTCAGATAAATATATCTCATATAGTTTTAGAATTTACAGAGTGGTAAATATTTGTTTTTTTGGGGACTGTGTCGTTTTACTGTCCGAATTTTAAGGAAATTTAAAGAAAAGATCAGATATCGTGTGAGGGCAAATCCAATAAAAAAAATTTTCTGACAATTTAAACAAATTAAATAGAAATGTTTTTTTTTGTTTGCTATGCCTTTCGCTGAGGTTCTAGACATTTGACATGCATCGCTCGTCTTGCAGAGGCTATTTTAATGACCGCTTATCTTACTGGTAAATGATCCTAATCGGATGCATAGCCACATTATCCGATGTTGGAAGCGTACGTAATACCTGCGTGCAACGCTGAAACAGTGCACAGGATGTACTTGAGACAAGCTCGGCTTATAGTGAACGCAGGAGAAAAATATCTCACGGAGACATTGATTGACCCTGTCAACACGACTCTAGCTCAGCGACGTACTCTTGTACGTGCGTTTACAGGGAATAATTGCTAGAAGGAATAGTGTTTTGATTTGAAATCCCCTAGTCAGCACCTTGTAA